GTTAGGAATTAAGCCTTTAATTGTAAGTTCTAAATAGTGTAATGAAGGCTGTATTGCTACAGCATTTAATGCCTCATAATGTTGTAGTTAGTAGATAAGGTTAGCCTTCTGGTCTGCTGACAAATCTAGTTCAGTAGAGTTGATATAATTATTGATACTGGTATTGATTATATATTGAAGTAGTGTTAGATTAGAATATTTAAGCCAATGTAAAGGAGAATCTAATGCTTCATAATGGAAACAGTTAGTATTTTGAAAAATTGTAGGATAAAAGAGTATAGTGAAGCGAATGAGTAAATAATTTATTTAGTAGAGTTTTGGTTTTGAATGATTGAGTTGATTAAGTTTGAAGTTTGTAATATTTTAGGTAGATTTGTGCTTATAGTTAAAGTATAACCAAGTAGATCACCAATTAATTCTGTCATTTGCTTGAGACCATTCATTATTACATTGCTAAGATAACCACATTGCTAGAATATGGGCTTTGCAAATAGTTTTAATAAAAGATTGAGTTGATTGTTCAACAAAAAATTTTACTTCTTCACATTGTTTTTTTTTTTTTTTGATATAAAGGTGAGGCCTTGCTCATATCTTTATTAATAATTTTATTGGGTAATAGTAACCACAGGTTGAATAATCAACTAGTGTATTGTTACTATAATTTGTAAAAGTACAAATAAAAAATAAAACTATATTGCAAGAATAAAAGCTTAGACTAATTTATCTGCGACCTAAATCTACTAGAGTGGTCAAAGCTCACCTAGGTTATAATAGAAGAAATAAGATTAAATAAAGTACTGTATTTAGCCCAATGGGCTGACCAGAAGTCATATTTTCTTCTAGCCTGACTGATAGATGGACAGTTATTAGGGTGGGTGTGTAGTTGATCTGATTCTCCACATATACAAGAGTAAGTATATATTAAATGTGTGCGTCGAGTTGTAGTAGTTGGTTGTGATGAGCTTGATGAACCAGATGTTTGTTCAGAACTTGAGGAGTTAGATAGTATTAGAGAGCTTGTGTTATTAAAGTATGGGTAGTTAAGTTTATTTAATTTTTTCCAGTTAGAGAAGTTTAAGCAGTATGGTTTCTATATTTGCTCATATAATTGTTCATTAACTTTGAGTAGAGTATTAATTATTAATTGAGATGCAGTTTTATATGGAATATCGTAGTTTTGGATAGTTTTAACTAGTGATATTGGAATTAAGCCTTTAAGTGTAATATCCAAATAGTGTGTATTTGATTGAAAAGCAAATTGGTAAAATGCTTTATAATTGTGCATTTTGTAGATAAGTTCTTTTAACTGGTTACATGAAAGATCTAGCTCTGCTGATCTGAAGTGCTGTATAATGATATTAGTGATAATTTGATATATTAGTTTAGAGTTTTGGCAACTATACCAATGTGAAGAAAGTTCTTTATAAAAATAATTTACTATATTTCTATACTGAACTCTAATAAATTTGTTAAAAAAGTTTTATAAAGTAGTTTAGTAGAAATAAAAAGAGTTGACATTTACAATGTATAGATAAATTGATCAGGAGGTCAGATTATCTCGATTGCACCCTCGATTGGTAGGGGTGATGTTAACCGAAGAATCAACTTCGAGCGGCTTAGATACTGTACAATTTTTATTATAATTAGATTAATAAATATGAAGATTTATATATTTGAAAAATCACAGTTTCGAAGATATAATGCTCTAAAAATAGAATAACAAAAAATTCAATAATGCCTATAAATATATCGAAATTGGGAATTGAAATTTTGTGTAATACAATTTCAAACGCATTTTTTTCAAAACTAAAACTACCTTCAAACAGTGGTTTTCCTAGCAAGTGACCCATATTTATTTTGAAAATCATCTAATTTCTTTCGATTTTACATGACATCGTGATTGCAAACCGCAATATATAATATTTATATCTACCTTGAAACCTATAGAATTTTTTAAAAATCAGAAATCGTCTAATTTCCCGCGACTTTACATGATATCCTGATTTGTAAAGGTCATATCTTTTGCAAACCGCAATAATCATTTCTACAAACGATTAAATATTTGGAATTGATTCTAAAGCATACTGTATAATCATTTTATTTTATCTATTTAGAGTTCCGAATTTTTAATAAACGCTACTCTTCATATATAAAAAAAATATAATGGCAGTGTTATCATTTACTCAGTATCGCCATCATCCCATGTGACTAACGAAAAATTCTTTAAGTTCGTTTATGTTAGGGTTTTATTTAGGTAATTGTATAGTAAAATCGCTCAAGATAAACTTTTTGTTAGTGAATGAAAGGTGGTTTCATATGTAATCTTTCGAGAAATAAACAATTTTTGAAAAAAAAGAGAAGTGAATTCTCCTAATCATATTACGTTGCACTAAATTATGATCTTTTATTGGTCAATATTCACGTGATGTGGATTTTTTTATGGCGATGCCGAGGTAAATTGTTTGTTATTAAGGCGCATTATGTTATTAAAACTTTAAGCTTATAGTTTGTACTTAGCTATTTTATAAAGGCTGGGTTTTGTTTAATATCAAAGACTGTCACTTGTACCTTGTATAAATAAAAATATTCTACAGTAATATACAAGGAAAAAAATATTAACGATCGGAAAAATGTCTTTGTTGCCTTCGTTCCGATTTCCAATATATTTTAAAAAAAATCTACACTTTTTTTGGTTTCTAAATCGACGAATAACGAAATTTAAAGCTTTAATAATATTATTCGTTTTAAATTTTATATTATTTATAAGCTTTTCTATACATTTTACTAAACTACCAAATTTATTTAATTTATTTGGAGATGATTCAACGAAAAATGTTACAAGATTTGTTAACACTTTAATCGGAACTGCTAAAGGTGGTTTTCGAGAATGTGAGTTTTACTAACGTAGTTTAAATGAATAAAGAACAATTATCCACTTTTTACAAAATTTTTCTTAAAAAAAAGATAAGAAAAGAAAAAACCACAAGTTTTCACAGTTTTTGTTTTCGTTGCTAATGTTTAAATTGAATGTAGACGGGCATGTGTTTCCTGGTCCTTGTCATCCTTATGGCCTCGTTAAGTTAGGTTTCGATACTGATGATACTCATGAATTTAATGCAGGGTAAGAATACCTCGCTATTATTAAAACTATTTTAAAGAAATATTAAAAAGTTAGAATAATTTTTTTTTTCATAGATACACTATTGGTGGAAAGATTACAGGAATTTCTCGTACGTGTTATACAATAGATGTATTATTTAATAGCTTGTCTATTTTTCAGTCGCGTATGTGTTTATTAATCGATTATTACTTGTAAAGACTTACATGTCAGTGGGACAGGAGGCAAGTGAGAAATAATATAATACATATTTTTATATATGCGTTATCACCTTCACTCATAAATCGATTAAATGAATACAGGTGAACCAAAATATGGTGTGATAAGTCAATTCCCCACGATAGATTCACCTGAAGATCCACTTGATTTAACCCATTTTAGCTCTGAACGTTCTTTTGAACATTTTGAAGTTGGTTATTCAAAATTTGGATTAAAACGTTATAATATTACAATTGAATTAACAACTAGTCAGAGAGCAGGTCTTCATCGATATACTTTTCCTCCAACCGAAAATAAAGCTAAAATTATTATTGATTTGCCTCATAATCTCGCTGTATATCACTATAGGTATGCCATGTAAATTTATATAATGCATACCTAATTGCCTAATTGTTAATAATATTAATAACGCATTCGTTTAGCTTCACTCACAAGTACCATGGAGGATCAATCCAATATATCTCACCTAATCAAATAAAAGGTGCAGCTCGTTATAGTGGCGGTTGGAATAGAGGTGGCATTTATACTGTCTACTTCTGTTCAAAATTTAATACCAACGCCACTGAATTTACGGACTGGGAGGGTAAAACTTTTCAGGACTTTGATGGAACAGATGATTTTAGCGAAAAGGCTAATGGTGTTGCTTTAACTTTCAATGTTACTGAAAATCCGGTGATAATATCAAAGGTTGGAATTTCATTTATTTCAGCTGATCAAGCTTGTAATAGTGTTGAAAGTGAAATACCAGATTGGGACTTTGAAAAGACTAAACATGAAGCTGTAAAGGCTTGGCAAACGGAGTTAGGAAAGATACAAGTTGAAGGAGGAACTGATGAGTTAAAAACAATTTTTTATAGTAGCTTATATAGAACCATGATAATTCCTAGCAATAAGTATGGTTTTTATATATTTAAAAATAAATAATCCTAATATTATTTATTTTTATTTACCATTTATTATGGTTATTATTACGGTCGTCACTCCATATTGTCACACTCATTATAATCACATCATATGTAATCACATTTACGTTTAGGCAAAACTACTGTATGATTTAATTTATAAGAAAAAAACCTCCATATAAGCACAACCCCTTTATAAGCACGTTTGAAAAAAAACTTTACTATCGCTATGTGTCCAACTGCCGTATTTCGCCTTGTAGAGTGCCCCTCCCCTGATTGACTTTACCCTTGATTATAGCGGGTATATTACCAGGTCTATAACCTGTATTTTTAGTACAAGACCCGGTATGATAAACGGAGGTTTTTGTGCATGTGATATAAAAACACATTGTTTTCATAATATGATCCTTATACAAGACCATATAGTATACTCTCTTCTATACAGTATACCCGGGGTATAAATCAGAAAAAAACCTATGTATATTGTAAGAAAATCCGGGTACTCTCTATGGTGAAATACGAGCATGATTGTAATGGGAGGGCGACTGTATTTATTATTTATTATTTATTATTATTGCTATATAATAATTTTATTTTTGTGATTATAGAACTGGTGAGAACCCAAAATGGGAAACATTTGATAAATATGGTAAATTAATACCACACTACGGAGATTTTTACACTTTAGTATGCTATTTCTTTTATAAGTTCTAATAAGTTCTAGAGAAAAAAATAATTTAAAGATTCTAACCTAAAAATAATTAATAGTGGGACACATTTAGGTAAATTTTATAATATTAATATCGTAGCATAATAATACGTAAAGTAATTCTTAACAAAATAATTAAGTAACTCATAAATAAAATATAGAACGACGAACCCATTATTCACGCTTTTTCAGCAAGAACGAGCTGTAGATATTGTTAGATCATTAATTGACATATATAAAAATGAAGGATACATGCATGATGGAAGAAGTGGAATATCGAATGGAATTACGCAAGGTGGTTCTAATGGTGACATGGTTGTGGTAAGGCTTAAATCGTCATTAATTTCTTCCTAAATAGTATTTCTTAATTGATTTTTTATTATATTATTATAATAGGCAGAAACTTATTTAAAAAAATTGGGCAGAGATATAATAGATTGGGAACTTGCTTACGAAGCTTTAATAAAGGACGCTGAAGTAGATCCTGGTTCACGCGGATTATATGAGGGTCGATTATTTTTATCAAAATATAAACAATATGGTTTTATACCTTTCTCAGGAAGTCTCATATCTGTGTATGCACATTCACATTGCAGCAGAACTGTTGAATATTCTGCTAATGACTACAGTATCAGTCTTGTTGCTAAAGGTAATATCGAAAATATTTACATTCTTGAATTGATTTTAATTTTTATGCATATTAAAATCTAATTTACGAGTATTTTTTATTTAAAGAAACGGGCAAATATGACGATTATATTAAATACAGAAAGAGAGCAAGAAATTGGGAGAATTTATGGTATCCTAATAAGACTTTTGATGGTAAATAAAAACACTTTTTATTCATTACTTTATATGTTAAACACATATTAAATTATACATTAATATCATTTATAATAAAAAAAAGGTGCAAAAGGATTTATCATACCAAGATATGAGAATGGTAGCTTTTATACTGATATTGACGTTTTAATAGAACGAGGTGGTGAGTACGTATTCTATGAAGGTTCTTCATGGGAATATAGTTTGGATGTACCGTTTGGTATGTACTTTTTGCAAAATAAGCATTATGTTTTATGCTTATTCACGATATTCTATCAGGTTATTATTAATTATTTTACTATTATTTTAAAAATATAGATGTAAAAAGATTAATTGAATTATCCGGTGGTCCAAAAGAATTTGAAAGCCGTCTTGACAAAACATTTGCCGATAAATCTTATCAAAGTGGTTATTATAATATAGGAAATGAACCTGATTTTTTTCATATTTGTTTATATCATTTTATTGGAAAGCAATATAAAAGTGTTGAGGTTATAAGAGATATTTTAAAAACTAAATTTGGAATTGGGCAGGATGGAATTCCAGGTATGTTATAAATTGGTATAATTTATAAATTAAAAATAAATAAATTAATATGTTAATTTATTTTTATTGAACAGGCAATGATGATTCAGGAGCGATGGGAAGTTGGTTTGCTTTTAATGCAATTGGGTTATATCCATTGTAGGTTATACTGTAAATCATTACCTATTGCAGTATTGATACATTACATTATATCTTGTTTATTTAACAACAATATTTTATATTTAGGACTGGCACGGATATATATTTAATAAACTCGCCACATTTTGAAAAAGTAACAATAAACCTCTCACCAAAAATCAAATTCACAATTATAGCTTATAACTTGAGAAATGAAGATCACATAAATCCATATGTTCAGAGCGTAAAGATTAATGATAAATATTGGAGAAAAACATGGTTTAGACATTCAGATATTGCAAATGGAGCAGTTATGGTATTAATTATGGGTCCAAAACCAAGTAAAGTTTGGGGTGTTATTGGAAAAAATGATGATAAAATTGATATAGAAGATAGAGTTGTGCCTCCTAGCATGAGTGATTTTGATATATAATTTCTAATTTAATATTTTATCTAAATTTGCCTTATGAAAAGATGAAACCCGCGTTTTTAAGTTAGTCATTAACTCATATACGTGTTCTCCCTGCCGTTTTATGCCTGTCCACGTTTATAATTAAAATTATATTGACAGGAATTTAGACAAATGAATTTTAAATAAATTTTAACATTCAGCGTAATATAGAATGGGATATTTTTAGTTGGTCAATTTATGTACATTACGGGACAGCATAAAATATCAAATTTTTAAAAATATTATAACTAAATAAAAAATTATTGGATAAAAAAAAATTCTCAAATTAATGTTTTTTAAGCCAGATGACATTTTTAAGAGAATTTCCTTTTATTCTTATACCAGTACGATCACATGAATTTGTAACATGAAATGTGGGAGGGATGAATGACTCTTGCGTCGCCCGAAAAATGGTGGCCGGAAGATTTGCCGGTTACGTGTGATTGCGGATCTGATTATCAGGAGTTTACGCGCTCACCCTCAAAAAATTTCCCCGCACGTGATCACATTTTATCAAACAACATTATTGTTAGAATTAGGATAGGTTAGGAAAGTACTTAGCATATACTAAATTTCGCAAGGAATTTTTTTATTAGAGCATCGAATGCGGTTTCATATATGAAAATTGTGTTAGCGACGAAGAAGCGTGAATTTCACGTTACACCTGTTCTTGTGATTGGATTGGTCACCATCACGTGCGTGGAAATTTTTTGTAACTACCCCAGAACACTTCCAAAAATTCTGCGCACCAATCAGTTTTCAAGATCAGGTATAACGTGAAATTATGCACTTATTGACAAATCGTTTGTAGCTCAAAATCTTGCCTATGAAATATGGGCGGATTTGACGCATATGATCATGTACATTGTAAAAAATAATAATTTGGCCCATAGCCAGCATAATTCGGCCCGGTTTCATAATTATTTCCTTCCTTGCGAACATCTTGCACATCCAAAAAAAATCAAAATAAGAACTTGATTGTTTTAATTTCAAGATAATCACAAAATTGATGTGCAGTTCGAAAATATCATATTAATGAAAATGCGTTCAATCCGCCCATAACCGGATCGGTTCTACTATTAAATCCTGACATCCAAAATCTCGTCAAGCAATAATATTGACATCACGCAATGTGAGAATTGAAATTTAAAGTCTGACAATGATTGTTAATGTGATTACTAATCTTTAAATGTTAATTGTCACACCAGGATTATGGTTTCAAGATTTTGGATATCAGAGTTTTGTGGTAGAACCCTAGAATTCTACTAGGCTATATTTTAACCATAATCAAAACCTACTTATAACTTTACTAACTTCAAACTGAATCAACGTAAATTCTTTAAAATTAAAATTCTACTTAATAATTTGCCATTTACTTTTTTCTATTATACTAGATATCTCACTATTTTTATTAGCTATTACTGTTTTTTTTGAAATAGTTTAGACTCTGTTTCACATTAGAAAGTTTGTTTTAACTTTATTACTCTTTCTAACACAGATTGAATATCAAAATATCTGACAAAAAATCAGCTATTTGATATTCTTATATTTAATGACAATATTTTATCAAGATATCTATAATGATATATACTGATTGTATTTTATCAAAATTGAACTGAAATTTTTAGTTTTTAAACTAAAAATAGTAATAAATATTAATTAAGAAAATATCACCCAAAATTAATTAGTATTTGAAGAAATAAGTATTAGTTATTAATATTATTTTAAAAATTTATATTATTTATATATAATATTAAGTATAATTATTTCTTGTTATATGGTAGATATGATATATATAATAAAAGAACTATATTATAAATTCTAATTAATAATAAGTATTAATAATTTAAATGAAAGACATATTATAATTTTTTGCTTTTAAACTTTGGCAATCTTACTGATAACTTTATTAAATATTTGTAGCAAATTTATATAAATTATCTATATAACTTATAATAGGATTATGTATATACTAATATAAAATAAGAACTAACTTACCTAGCTACCTCTAATAGGTATCTAAATATAATTTGCTGTACTAGGCTGACTTTATAATTAGCTTCTTACTACTATTTTTAGCAATACCAAAAACTGGTTATTGATTTAGAAGTTTTTTTGAGCAAAGCTCTTTTGCTTTCTATTTTTACTATATCTAGCTATACTTATATTTACTATATCTTTTACTTTTTTGTTACTATACCATTTTCAAATTTGTAACTTTTATATTGTTAATCAACAACAACGTTGTTGTTTTTAATACTAAAGCGCGATTGTCGGTTACAGTCAATTCGTATCTTACTGTTTTTTTTAGTAAGATATGAATTGTTTTTTTAAAATCAAATATTACGTTATTTAGAAGTATATGACATATCATACATTAAATTTAAAGTTTTACATATAAATAAATAAAGTAAATTTAAAGTGCGATACATCATATACTTTTAATTAATGATAAATAAAGGACGTTATATACAAATTACAATTTCAATATGATCTGCCGTAATCTCATTTTGATTCAGTTAAACTATTGAATTCGACAATATGAAATTTAAGATTAGTTGACTATTCTACACCTGAAGCCCACCTGGAACTAGGGATGGTAAAAAATCACTTTTTAATGATTTTTATATTTTTTAACTTGGTTTAATAAAATATTTTAAAATATTGTTGATAATGGTGCTGATGGATAAAGCTAAAATTACTGTATATAATTGGGTAATTTCAACTTCAGTATCGCTATGAATTTTTTATTTTTTAATCAAAATATGTCATCAGTTTGTGTTACAAAGATCAAAAAGTCAGAAGATTTGAATTTATAATTATGATCATAACTATGTCATTATTATTAATCATGATATCAATATTGGTGATGATGTTTTAAAACATGTAAAAAATCACTTTAAAGCAATATAAAACTGATTTAAAATATTTTGTTTTAAATCATTTGCCATCCCTACCTGGAACCTATCTAGAATTTTTTTCCCACCTATTGTCTGACCTTACAGCTGTTTTCCAAATTCTTGGACACCTGACAAAAATTAGCCGAATGATTTTTTTGGCTGATTCAATTAAGATTTTTTCAACAGATTTAGATAGCTTATTAATTTCAGCATATTAGATTCTATATAAAATTTAAGATCAGGTGACTAATATAAAATCCTGATAAAAAAAAAGGACGCAAATCACTAACTCTTCCTGACGATCACTTGTACCAAGTTTTCTCTAAAATCAATTGCACTTTTCTCAATATTTTATTAAGTAAATATATTCTAGCTGCCTAAGTAAAATTGTTCTAAATAAAATTTTATATATAGATGGCCTAGTTTTATATCTCTAAAGTTCTTTGCTGCAGAGATATAGCTAAATTTAACTTTTTTGCATTTTCAAGAAAACTCAAAATTTACTAAGTAAATCGCTTCTGCTTATTAAGACAAAAAGATTCAGCTTAT